ACGTTTTTCATCTTTACAACATGATCTTATAAATTCTCGCTCTTTCTTGAACTTCAGAATTTCATAATTCTTTTTTTTTTTTCCACTTTATAATGAATAGAAAGCAGCATCACGAAGAGAATAATTTTTATAATTTAAACATTTGGTTAGACGATTATTTATAATTATAATATTTATATTAGTTATTTTATAATAGTACGAGTAACATAAATACAATGTACGAATAAATTCCTAGAAATATCTAGACTAATTGTAAAATTAACAAGAATAGAGATGAAATACGCAATTGTACATAGCACAAAGAAACTAAGTCCCAGTTTGACCTATCCCACGCAACTACTTAAAGGGGCATTAAAGGGGCAATTTTACTTGAAATTTCTGAAATTATCAAACTCAAGTTCATAATTACAGTAATATATGTACAAGTTCATGTAATTGCTACAACAATTATAATTAAATTTTTATGCTTTTTTGTTGTCATAAGATTATCTTAAACAAAATAAACTTCCATTAAACTCCCACAATTTGTCGCACATTTTGTTTAAATATTTATTTAATTGCCAATTTATATATTATTAATATATGTAGTAATATAAATATATAAATATATTTATTATAATTATTTAAATATATATATATATATATATATATTTTTTAGTTAGAGTTTTTTTGTAGTTAGAGTATTTGACACAGTTACGTTCTTTATAATATGGAATATATTTAAATTAATCGTTTATGAGAATCTTTAATTATAATTTAATATATTATAATATTAAAGAAACAATATTGCTGTACCAATTTGTTTTTAGTAGGAATCTTTTACATTAATATTCTTTTATAAATTAAATTGTTATGAAGTAAATTAAACTTTTTTAAATTTGATTTAAAGCATTTGCGATTTTAAAAAGAAAATATTAGTATTGCAGAAAAATAAATAGAGATAAATAAAGATTCGAGCTAAGTTATTAAAGCGTTTTTACGTAACAAAGGAGAAGTAGCTAAATTGCGAGTTATTTTTTATAGTCGGAATAAAGTGTTACATCATAGTCTTTGCTAATGTATATACTTTTGTCTTGCTCGCATTACCATCTCGAACTCGTTCTGACACGCAGTCTGTCACGCTCCCGCTGCCGTTATCTGTGCATATACCATATGAAATGAGCCAAAATCATCTTATGATATTTGCAAAGTAGATTATTTTAATACAATACTTATTTTTTTATAGTGTAAAAATATAAATTAATTATTAATATATTTTTAATACTATATATATATATATATATATGTATATATTCGTGAGTTTAAGACTTTACAAAAAAATTTTATAAATGTAAACTTTACTTAATAGAAGAAGAATTATGTATGACTTTTTGTATTTCTACATATTGATTGTTACATTTCTTATATCTTTAATTGCTTACAAATTAAATATTTGTTGGAATTTTTGCTAAAAATTGAAGAATTACATTGATTAAGGAACTTCTAAAACGTTAACGATGATTTTGGCTCATTGTATAGGTTTCTACACTTGTTTCTATAGCTGTATAATATCATGTGCCATGTATATATATTGTGTAAAGTAGAAAGCTTTTAAAGCGCTATACGCTACATGTGAACGTATATACACCATGTATTATTTGCGGATGTACTTTTGATCTTTTTTACTATTTATTTATAAAGCGCAATCATTTTATTTTGCATTTTTTTAAAATTATAATGGTATGGTTGTAGAATTTAATTTTTTTCTGAAGCCATAATGAGATATAGAATTGAAAACTTAATTAAATAAATATCAGAGTGAATTGTGAAGTATCACATTATGATATTGTTAATATTAGTAACATTTAATTAATATAAATTATATATGTTTATTGTACTTGTGCATATTTCACATTATTTTATAGATATGTTTCCTGATATATTGCATATGAATGTCTAAGTTAATTTTGTTAAAATGAATACTGTGACATTTTATTGTAGCGTGAGCAGTAAGGAGTGCTACAGATTAGCGTGATCAATAGCATTTAATTACTTTTCATTATCTCCACTTATATCTCCAATTTTTTTCTATCCTTTCCGAGCAGCACATGCCCATATTATTTATATTGTTGTGTATTATAGTAAGTTAAGAGTTATCTGTACAAATCTTATATAGATCGATCTTAGATCGATTGCTCAGCATAAAATATATAGTATTGACAGAAAAAAATAAGGCAAGAAAATTAATTTGGATGAGATATTATGCGTTCGCTATTATTCGAAAAACAATCAAGATGTTTGCCACCTTCGGAGCTTGTAGTCGCTTCAAGGCAATCTTCTTCTGTATTTTCTTTCTTACAAGTTGTACGCCAGAAATCCTCCTGAGTGAACCGGTAGCATGTTGTCATAGCTCTCTTCTCTGCACTCTTTAACGTACTATTCCGTAGCAACTTCGATTGCGTGATCCATGCGAGAAAGGGTGGCTTTTGTAAATATCTTTCCCGCCTTCTGTAGTAACCTTCAGATTTTTTGCAAGATTTGCAGTTTTTTTTTATTAACTTTCACAAAAATGTATTATGCACACTTGACGATTTGGTCCGTTATTATACGAAATACATACTGAAGAACTTGGCATCAGATATTAAGATCAATTTAATCTATGTGCAAAAGTATATTGTGATTGATAAATTTGTTGTCTTATTTATCTATAGACTTATTTTTAAAATATTTCCATTAATATATATTTTATAATTTATCTTTCATATCTTACGTCAAGTTCTTTTTAACCTTCGCAATATAAATTAAAATTTATTAGAAAATTTTTTCGAAATTGTGAGGGTTAGAAATAGAATGGAATTATAAAATACTCTTACCTTTTTTTTTCCCCGCATGACTTTATGTATTTATTATCTATGTATGCTATTGAGTACTTTTATGATATTTAAAAAAATATCCAAAGAAAATGTTTACTTGTTTACGAAATAAAATCTTTTATTATCAATATTTTTACGAATTTTAATTAATACATATAGAGCATACTATAAGATTTGTGTCAAATTATATTGAATTTTCGATAGATTTAAAATTGTGTTTGTCTTCAAGCAAGTTTGTATAACAGAATTAATTTCCTGAAAAATTTCACAAATTTTACATTTTCTATTAAATAACATTAAATAAAGTTTACAATAAATTGAAAGATAAAAGTCTAATTTAAGACGCGTTATCAAAATATTCTCAAAATGATAAGTTATGAAAGAAAAGAATTTACAATTAACTTTTTTATAGATTAAAAATTATTTTTAAATATAAAAAAGAGAAATATCTCGCCGTCAAATATACGCTAGCATTTCGTCAAATAATATACAGTGCATGTAGAACTTTGATGCAAATTTTATAAAATATTATATATATATATATGTATATATTTATTTGTATTAGTTTATATATGTAGATATAACTGAGAAAAATACCATATACATTTATAAAATATTATCTAAATATTTATATTTTCTAAATTTCTTTCTAAATATTTATATTTTACTAAAATGTTTTATTATTACTGAAATATATGTTTTTTGTGATTTCTCTTTGTCACTTCTATAAACTTTTTACAATAATTTCTCTTTTATAAACATATGTAAACTTTTCTAAGACTTAATTGCATTGTCGAGTATGATTAATTCGTTTTTTAAATTATTTTTAATTATTAACTATGTTTCTCATTTTAAATTATGATTTAACATTTTTAAGTGTTATGGCTTTAAATTACAATTTCAACTATAATATAACAAAAAAGGAAATCAATTAATCACGATCAAGGCTAACCGACATCGTGATGCAATCAAGTCTTGATGTATGCTAATTACTTTTCTGCAGCTTATTAAACTCTACGTAGCATACTCAGCCAGTTAAAAATGCTGCCATTAGCATTTCTTTATTTCTTTTTATTTTTGTTTTTGGATACTATTCGTCAAAATCTTATTCCTTGATTTGCTGATATCTGTAATCTCTATGAGCATGTTATAACATTTTACAGTTTATGGCAGCTGTGGAGCGTTTCCACTTTTTGGCGATGCGAACGCCGTTGTCTGGTCCGCGATAGTACTCGTTATGTAAATTATTTTCCCAGGTGTTACAATAAGATGAACTTCTTTCCGGACTTCGAATACTCTGTCTGGTGCACGACGAACAGTACGCTAAGCGGTCCAGATGGCATCGAATTCGTGGTCGTCTGTTGCGATCATTCTGACTACTGCAATCGCGATCTAAGGCCTTCTTTTCCTACTCACGAGTCCAGAGGTCGATCATATTCTCGCTTCGTGAACCACCTCGAAGGAGGTACAATAAATTGCAGTTAAAACGGCTGCTGCGAGATTCTTCGCCTTCAAGGTTGCTTTGGTCACGAAGTTCATTTCTTCGTCAAACTACTCACCAAAAACGGGACAATAAATTTAAAGGATTCAATGGCTGATTTCATAATAAATAAAATGATAATACTTAGAAAGAAAGAAAATTTTAAATAAAAATAAAAAGAATTCTATGAATTAAAGAGAAATTCGTAATAATCTTTAAAAATATAATGTGTATTAGAGATTGTAATTTTGTAATTATAAATTACAAAAATAATTAAAAAATATGTTCATTGGTAAAGCTATTATTTTAAATTAATTTTGCGTTACATAATTTAGCTTAGATTTATTTTATGATATTAAATGTATGGCACTATTATTAGATTATTGTCATTAAATTAATGATTTTTGCAATCAAATAATTGGTGTAAATATAATATATAATTATAATCATATTTTGATTCTAAAAATCTTTTCTTATCCATTTGATATATTTATATGTTTTAAGAAACTGATAGCAGATGTATTGTTAAAATTTTATAATATTACGTCATAAACTTTGACAATTTTTTTTAAGAAAATTATGATAATTTAATGGTTTTCTAATTAGAAATAATTTTATGAAAGTTGAACATAATATCTAAATGTTATAAAAGAACAATTGTATTATTACAGTAATTGCTATTTATTATTAAAGGATATTTCTTTTTATTATAAAAATTTGTAATATTTACAATTGTATATATATATATTTTATCATAATTAGCATAAACCTATCATCAATAATATTTTCTATTTTTGCCTTTAAATGTTTAAACATTTTAACGTTTTTAAATATAAATAATTTCTGTTTTAAGTAAAATTTTATTATTGAAAATTTATGTATACTGTATTAAACTATTAAATTACAGTATTTTTACATATTATTTTATTATCAATGAACATTTTTATTTTAATTGTTAAAATTGTTATATTAATTTTATAAAGTTATATTAATGTTTATTTAAGTTTTTAAATATAATTTATAAAAATTATATTTCCGTTGTGTAATATATTTATTAAATTACAAAGTAATTTATGGTCGGATGCATTTTCTGCCTTTCTATCCTGAATCAGCCGTCCGTGATATAATGTGAATGATAGATTTTGCCTTTGTAATCGTTGAGTTGCAACAAGATGTTTTATGCAGATAGCTAATAGCGATTATTACGTATAATTGCACGCGATAGTTTAAAAAATTAAGAAAGTAATTTATTTGTTGCACATTGAATGTTTTTTTTGTTGCGAATAGATTGATGAACGATTTAAATTTATTCGAAAGAGAATTGGTTTTGGACATCTACAATTGAATTAATTAACAATTTTTGAACATTAAATTTATTTCTTTGTCTCGTGATGATTTGGTAACTTTTGAATACGTTGTTATATCAACAACTTATATAACAATTTACGCATTTGAAACTTCTGATTCATGCACTCAGGGTTACAGCAAAGTTATAAATTCTTTTAAAGCAAGGAAAGAAGGATATTTAAATAAGTCATTGAATCCTGAACAATGCAATGTAATTTGCGAAACTTTTTTGAGGCTTTATATTTATATTCCAATATTATTTGAAATCAATGGTGGATTTACATATTTCGGAAATTTGAATTCGTTATTTTATAATTTTTATATACCTCTCTTACACATTATATGATAATTTCAAAATAAATAATATTTTTAATTCTATTTCTAATTACAGTTCGTTTTTATAATTTTTAAATTTTAATTAAAAATATATATTCTCTCTGTCTTAAATCCGTCATTGTTTTAGCGCTTGAGTTTTTTTGTTTTGTGAATTATGAATTAGCGGGAAAAAGACCTTTTCGATGGCAACCTTGGTAAGGCACGCGTACGACAGTGATGAGAAAAGCGGGGTATCGATTATCGATTTTCTACGCTTTTGTGAATTGTCTGGGCGCGCACTTTTCACACTACACTCTCCTCTGTATTCCTTCATGTTTCACCCATTATTTATCTTGCTTGTGCCAAGCTGACAAGACAAGGAACGGACAGAATGGCTGCCATCGACCGACAGTCCTCTCTATCCTAATCGCGTTTATTGTATTCTTTCGCTTTTGGGCGATTTTTTATTAAATAAAAATTGGTATTTTACTACAAAACGGTTACTGTTTCGTTATATAATGGAAGATATTTTTGAATTATAAATATATGCATTATCTTCTTTAGAGGGTCTAAAAAATTATAAATTATATAAATGAACGTAATGCATCGTAATTGTATCATTGAAAATTAAATGTATTATTTTAAATTTAGTATTTGTTTTATCTGTATTTTTATCACGTTTAATTTTTGATGTTTTAACATTAAATAAAATCTCAATTTAAAAAGGGCTAATTTAAAATTAAGATTAATTAATTTTAAAATATTTATTTAAATATTTTGTTAGCCATGTTAAAAAATAAACTTTTTACATAATTTATAAAAGCTATTTTTTTACAGAACTTATTTTTACAGAAAATATTTTTGAAAATGTTGAATCGTATATTCATATATCGTTATTCTCTATTCGATATCTCTTGTTCGTAATAAAGAGAGAATGCAGATAACGTTCTATGTACGTTACGTGCAGATAAGATAATATAGGTTTGCCGTACATATAAATATATGTACTGTAGGATTTTGCAATGCGAAGAAAAGTTGATAAAAAGGATGAGGGTATTTATTACGAAATTATGAAACAAATAAAAATTTAGAGAATTTTGAAATAATTAGATAATTGGTTATCCGTATAAAAGAAATATAACTTAATGTTTACATATTGTACATATATGTTTGTATGAGGAGAACAGTCCAATGTTATATGTTATAGTTCCGGTTGAGATTGCTGAAATTACAATTTGATGTGTAATGTAATAAACTAGAGAGCCTCATATTCTCTACATCTTAATATATTTAAATATATAAAGGTCAGCAAATACAGATATTTGTACTAAATCATGTTTTTATAGCAGTGAGTGAGAGCAACGCTATATGCATACTTTTAATAATAGATGGATTATGTTTTTATTTTATTTGTTTATCTATAGTATGTTTATAATTCATTAAAATCTATTAGTTATTTATACTGCAAGTGTTTAAAGCTATGTGGAAAGTACATTGTTAATATCTATACGTCAGTGAATTTCGAATAAAAGTGAACGTGGGGAGGGGGGCGAGAGTAATTTGCCAATGCAAATGAAATGTACTATTTCGAATGTAAAGTGACGAGGCGTGCACGATACGATTTGAACAAAGAGATGATGGGACAGGTTGGAAGCGATATTCATCGATTATATGCTCTAATAAATCCACGAGGACGGCCAGTTTTCAGTGGATATCCGCGCAGCTGCGATTTGATATTAACATGAAATACGCGTGTTATGTGCTCGCTTGTGGAATCACACGACATTCGACATTCACGTGATTTAAATCGACGATTTAAATCGACGTTTTATTAGTTACAATTATATTAAATATTATCAATATTATTAAAATGTGTAGAACTCTGCCATATTTAATAGAAATTTTAATTTTAATTCTATTTTATTAAGAAATATATCCGTTAATATCCGTTTTTCTCAATAAAAATTAATTAATTAAAGACTAATCAAATATAAGTGAAAGAAACACTCTAAATTGTATAACAATCTTGTTTTTCATGTTTTGTATATTTTAAGTGCCAAAAAATATGGAAAACAATAAATATATAACAATAAACAATAAATATAAATCAAATTTGGCAATTTTTTTAACTTTGTTATACTTTATTAAAATAATATAATATAATATTAAAGTAATATAATATAATATAATATAAGATAGTATATTTTATTTTACAAGATTAGAAGAATATAGTATATTATTATAGAAACTAAATCATATAAAAAAAGGATAGGAATTTAAATTTTGTCTATATAGCTTAAAAATATTATAATATTTATATTTTTTTATCTATCTTGTAATCAAAAATATTATATGACGAAACAGCAGCCTACAAAAAATAATTATTTAAGTGACATATTCGTACGAACCCCATATTTATTTGTTAATATTAGCATGGTGTATATCTCATTGTTACTAGAAGACTCATCGTTGAATGTGCGATCATTCATCAGTCGTTTTCAATCGTTTTTTCGCCATGTTGCCTCATCTCATTGAAATCTTCACAGAGATCAATATCCAATTATATCGCTATTCGTCCTATTTACACATGGTTCCATTTATACATGGTTCTCGATAACCAATTGAATTTCGCAGTTGTTTGATTCCAAAATGGATTATATAGTTATTTGTTTTTAGCATATTTACAAATTTAAATTACAATTTCCCCTTTCAACCGTCACGTGCACAACTGCAGAATGAATTTCGTGTTACGTCTATCTTAATTCAAAAAAGTTTTTTTCGTAAAAAATGATTTGTACTTTGTACAATTATTTAATTAAAATTTGAATTTGAGAATGAAGTTAACAGAAATTAATTTAGAAACAAATTTTTTGATATGTTAAACATTTTTATATTTAAAATTATTAACTCTATATTTAATATAATGAATATAAATATTTATATTAAAAAATTAATCTATGTTTTATATTTTTGTTTTATATATTTTATAGTTCTTAAATTCTATTTTTTATTATAAATCTCAGTTCTTTATTAGATACTTCGACTTATTTTATTGTAAAGCTAAAAATACAAATTATTTAACTAATGTAAACAAATTATTTTTGAATAAATAGTCCTTCGGTATTTTATAATAATTTGATGGACTTTTACTTAATACCATTTTTATTTAACATTTGTGTAATTTTTTAATTAATAATTTTTTAATAATAATTGATTAATAGCATTGCGCGCGCGCGCGCGCGCGTGTGTGTGTATGTGTGTGTGTGGTGTGTGTGTGTGTGTTTTGACTCGAAAGAACATATTTTAGATGCTCTTCAATACTATTAGGTACGAAGGTATGTATAAAGATGTGCATAACGTGCTTTGTCTTGATAAGATAGAAAATATTTATCTATAGAAAATATTTATCTTTATGTGATTACAACATAAGTTTAAGTAATATCACATAGCAAAGATAACTTAACACTAGAACAATTTATCATCGGGGGGGATTTAATAGAAAAAGAACATCTAGATATAAGTGGACATAAAAACTATGACAAACGATTGTTTTTGTTCACAGTTTATATTATTAATATCTGTCAAAGTTTGTAAAAATAAATCTCAAGGCTGTTTGAAAATCTTATTTATACGAGATAACTTGATTTAAATATTATCCTACATGCTAAATACTTACTTAATATTCTAGTGTTAAGATCGTATATAAAATTTGAAACAGTAATGATAATGAAAATTAGCAAACAATAAAATAAATCATCAAGCAAATCATCAAGACGCAATCGTACGTTAATGCACTATCCGATATTTTCAAAGAGATTCTTGGGACATTTTTTTCAGTTTTATGATTTGGAAATTCAGTATGTATTAAATTGTTGATCATTATTAGGACCTGGATTTTTTGTGCGATTTTCCATGTTATGCGTGGAGCACTATTGTATGAAAGTGTCGGGTCTTCTCGAGAAACATTGTTATCTCATTTCAGCGAGAGCTCCTGATCCACTCCCACGCAGCGTATGACAGCGTAAGAAACCGCACGGACCTCCGGGTTCTAGTCATTATACTGATTAGTCTCAAATCCTGTCTATGTTGTATCAAATTTTACAATGTGTTTATTTAATTGCTGCTGTCATTGCGAAATTGCTTTGAGCTATCTATTTTGTTAGCATCTTGTTATATATGTCTTTTTGTCTAACACAATTATGCTTTATGCTTTTTTTCTTTTTTTTTTTTCTTTCCCACGCTTTTATCTTATAGCTTTTTATTGTTTGAATTAAAAAGCTTTGCTCGTGCTTGCTTGCTTTTAAATCAATAATACGCAATACTGATCAATTGTAATCAATTCATTTACCTCCATGAAATTTTTCGTTTCCAAGATCAGTGGTATTCAACTTTTTTTTTTACCTAGATATTATTTGAATAAATTTTATTAAATAAAAATATTAACTAGCATAAAATAATTAGCATTAAAAGAATGTTTTTTTTTTCTCTAATTAGATAATAAAATTGCATGTAAGAAAACGTCCCCGAATTTATGTAATTTGTTCATAAACTTCGAGGCGATACATGGATATTGCCAGAATATTGCCAGCGTATTGTCAGAAATGTATTACGGGTTGGATATCTCTGATATTGGTACATCATACCTTTGGTATGATAACGCATAGAACATGGCGTCATCAAGGTTGAAATTAGCGTTTCTTCGCCGATGCTTCCTACGTGCGAATAATAATCGAATATATCTTGCCAAAAGTGTCATCGAGCGGTGATGACGCAACATGGGTCACCTGGAAAATGGCCTTGACGATAGCAGTACCAATATGCGCGATCTGCGTAGTCGTAATGACAATCTATCATATACACGTGACCAAAAAGAGGCCGGCTAGACACTTTCCGGACGATTCACTGGAGGCTCCGGACCGACCGATTCTGGGCGGCGTTACTATCAGGGACATGTTGGAGATGACTACGAGTGGCAGTGGCTCAGGTAGGTCAAATTAAATTAAAGTTAATCATGGTAAATTAGGACGATACAGATAGCAGTAGAACGATAAGATAAAAGGCAAATCCCTCGAATCTTTATGGAAAATTTTTAAATAAAAATGTTTTCATAGAAGTATCATCACTTCTATGGAAATATAATCATAAATACATTTGTTAATAATTATTTAGAATGCAAAGATAATTGCAAATTTACATAATAATGCTATTTAAAATTATAGAGTTTTAATACAATTCTTGATACATTATGATAATTTCTTGATAATTCTTGATAATTCTTGCTTCTTGATAATTTTTTAGTTTTATTATTATATAGAATTAACAATTAGCAAAATATGTATATAAAATAGTACATAAATTATTCATTGTATATAATTTTAAAAAAATTATTGGAATTTTAAAACAAATAAAAATTACTTTATGTAACGGTACGTGTATATGTATATGCATGCATTTCGTATACTCTTTTATAAATATAATACGTTATTAACGTATAAAAACGTGTGTAGAAATCGCTACGTTAAAATTTAATTACTTAAAATTTAATTACCTTTTATAACTTACGTTAAATGCAAAGCATTGAGCGTCGATACATAGCTCAGTTTTGTTTACTGATATTTTTTTTATGGAATTATCATATTTTGCATACATATTTTAATCTCTTCTCTTCTCGATCAGGCATAATGTACAAACACGAGACGCGTGAATCATCTTTAATCATACTGAAATTTACGTTCTCCAATGCCCATTCTCTCTCAAGTAGGCCTGCCACTTCTGGTACAGCGGAGCATAGCGCGCCAGATTCAGCTAGTGGAAACGATCGGAAAAGGTCGTTTTGGAGAAGTTTGGCGTGGTCGTTGGCGGGGTGAAAACGTCGCCGTGAAGATTTTCAGCTCGCGAGAAGAGAGATCCTGGTTTCGGGAGGCCGAAATTTATCAGACGGTGATGCTGAGGCATGACAATATCCTAGGTTTTATCGCTGCCGATAACAAAGGTGTGCATTCCATTTTCTTTTTTTACAATTATTACTTAAATTAAAAATCCTAACGGAATTACAAATAACGCTTAAGAAACACTTGTTCATCTAGCACTTTTTTCAACGTGTTAATTTTTCGAATGTATCTTTTGTTGACATCTATTCGTTGACATTAATAATATAAAAATGATTTTAACACAAATTATGAATATCTTTTTTTAAAAATTAACAATTGGAGAATATTATAATGCAAATATGCTAGTTTGTTTAATTATAAAGAAGTGCGTTTTAAATTTAAATAATAAATTAAACTTAGTAACGTCTAGCTTAGTAATGTCAAACAAATGCAAAAAGTAATGTTGAAATAATATTGAATTACAAACATTTTATTTTTGGAAATGTATCAAGAGTAATTTTAATTTTACAAAGTATTGAAATGATTTATTCAAATTACATAAAATATTAAAATGCTGTGTTCTTTATTGATTTCCCTCACATATTTTATCACTTTGCTTGTTTTATGAAAGCAGTTACAGTAAAATTTTTTTTTAGATATATGTTGGATAATATTTTGAATTGAGAGAATGGTGGAGGTCATTTTATGTTTTTCTCTTTTTCAGATAACGGCACGTGGACACAGCTGTGGCTGATTACGGATTATCATGAGAAGGGTTCACTCTTCGATTATCTCAACAGATCGACCGTCGACACGAATGGTATGATAAGGATGGCCTTGTCGATCGCCACTGGTTTGGCGCATCTTCACATGGAAATAGTCGGCACGCAAGGCAAGCCAGCCATCGCTCATCGGGACCTGAAGTCAAAAAATATTCTCGTAAAGACTAATGGTACCTGCGCTATAGGCGACCTCGGTTTGGCCGCCAGGCACGACGTAATCACGGATACTGTCGACATTCAACTCAATAACAGAGTCGGCACGAAGAGATACATGGCGCCTGAAGTAATTATGCTACCATGGAAAAGATTTCTTTGATTCTAAATATAAAAAGCAGAAGTATTATCATTTGCTATTTAAAAGGAAAAAAGGGAACATCATTATAATTATATTAATAAATGTTAATTACTTACTTTTGATAATACTATTCAATATATTATTGATAATAACACACTGAAATATTTTACAACAATTATATAGTCAGTTTTATTAAATAATTTGAAATTAGATATATCTTTCTACTCTATATTCTTTTAACTCAAAATATCAAAAATTAATTTTTTTTTTTTGTTAAAAGATATTAACACAATCAAATTTTCAATTCTTACATTAACTGAAAAAAAGATTAAATATATTTTAATAAAAACAGATAAATAATAATTATTGTATAAAAATATCAAACACAATTGATAAGAGTTTGCACTTAGTCAGGAAAGCAGCTCTTCTACAACTCGTATGAACGTTTTTTGCTTTCAGGTTCTTGAAGAGACGATAAACATGAACCACTTCGACTCGTTCAAGAGGGCCGATGTGTACGCACTCGGTCTGATCTTCTGGGAGATCGCTAGGCGTTGCAATGTCGGCGGGATTCACGACGAGTATCAGTTGCCCTTTTACGATTTGGTGCCTTCCGATCCAACTATTGAGGAAATGAGAAAAGTTGTATGCACTGATCGACAGCGACCATCGATACCGAATCGATGGCAATCGATTGACGTACGTATTAAGACAGAAAAGCTAATTTAAACAATTAACATCTCAAATAATTATTTGAAGAACAAATTATAAATAAAATATTTTTATAATCTTCAATTGTAATTTTAAAAATACATCTAAAATATATATCTAAAAATATTTGTTTTGATATTTATATATTAATTGAATTAATTTTTAAACGATTTAAAAATATATTGAAGTATATGACATAATATATATATATTTATATAGTCATTATATAATTATAAAATATGATAAAATTATAGCAATGATTTAAAGGAGAAATATAAATGTAAATTTAAAATATCAAAGTTTTTGAAAATTCAAAATTTAACTAAGATTATGTGTTATATATTATTATATATTATATATTATATATTATTGAAATTTTATAAAGAGTTTATGCAAAATTAATATTACATTTTTAAGTTGTGAATTAATTGCTAATTTATGATATTTACTTAGGCTCTGCAGGTAATGTCGAAAGTAATGAAGGAATGTTGGTATCATAACGCTGCCGCCAGGCTAACTGCACTCAGGATCAAGAAATCGCTCGCTAATTATGGCGCTATGGATGACCTGAAATAGATTAAGCAGTTGCCGAGTTCTTCGATGAGAAAGCTACAAAAATTGATTGAATCATTTGTGTGAACGTCATTATCTTAAAATTCGACGTGATAGAGCTTCCGGTGCAATGAAGAAATATTATCCGAGAGCTAATTCGAGAAGTCGCGAAGAATCTAGGACTGGCTGGAGTTTTGGGATCTTTTCTTATGCGAAACTAGCCTTGACCTTCGAATGAAGTACTATACGATTACAATTAGTTTTACGGTAAGTCGTGAACAAAGACATAAAGTGGATTTTTAAGCGTTGATCGTTTCAAGCGCGTGAGCAATAGAAAGAAACATTACTTCAATTCCGATATATCGTAGCTTGATGATCGGTCACTCGAGTGAATGGGTCAACAGGCAATCGCAATACGCGTTCGGTTAATCAAACGATTGCTCGGTTACGCGTCATTGATACACGCAAATATTGACACATAAAAACACTGCTATATATTTATTACAATAATACTAAGATAACAAAGTATACAAATTTATTATATAACAACAATTATTGATTAATATTAATGAATAACACTACTCGCATGTACACACACATATATAATTACACACACACACACACACACACACACACACACACACACACACACACACACACTACCTA